TAGATAGATAGATAGATAGATAGATAGGGTTTGCACATCCACACTTTTGGGCATCTGCGGGGGAAAGGCTTGGAACCAATCCCCCAAGGATACCGTGATCCTATTGTAATTATTTCTATATGTGATATTTATATAGTCTTTTTAAATCTGTTGTGAGCTGCCTTGAGTCCAGTGGGGAAAGTGACAAATAAATAAATAAATAAATAAATAAATAAATAAATAAATAAATAAATAAATAAATAAATAAATAAATAAATAAATAAATAAATAAATATGTGGACCAGTACACAAACTTTATAAAAGAACCAATGACAATGGAATGCATCAAGCTATTAGCATTCTATCTAAAAGCGTTACTGTATTGTATACAAATAATATATTCTCTCATTTACTACAGATCAGTCCATATTTAGACACAGAAGACATATCTGCATTGTTAAATTTGCCACAGTTATTTTATACAGGCTACTTGGGTTACAAGTGAATGGAGAATATTTGGTTTGAATCTGACTGTACAGAGGTAGGAAGCCTGTAGCCACAGCTGTGATCATGGTGTTATAGCACTGCACCAGAGCATAACTGCAACCCTGTTACCATGGAATGGCAATCAGCAGGCCACTTCTCCTGTGGTAATCTGATTGATTGCATGCTATGGAGAGAGGAATCCATCAGGATTTTTGAATGAATGCTTAAAAGACTGTAACTGATATGAGAAGAATTAACTCCTTTATCAAAATTAGTCATGGATGACAATTCAGGATCATACCAGTAATTATAGACACTGACAAGATGAGGAATGAACAGTGTGAAGCAAATGTGAAACCACGAAGTACATCAAATGCCTGTGTAATTTACAGGAAAGGGAACTTGCACATTAGGTAAAATATATCTTACTATATGCATTAGCAATTACTTGCATAATGATTCCATTTAATGAACGTTCACAACAGATTATATGCAGAAGGGTCAATGAAAGGAATTGGGGGGCCAACCATCTGAAGTAATAAAAAGCTAATGTAATTCTTAAATGCATTTTTTTTTTTTGCTATGGCAATGTTTTCAGATGTTCCATTTCATCAGAAACCTCATGCAGTCCTTAGTGATGAATGAAAAAATGAAGATGTAAACAAAGTTCAGCTCCATGCAGAATTCACCATTCTGTCTACTATTTTTGTTTCACAAGACAGATGTTGGCTCGGTTCACAAAGGGAGTAACCTGGACTCATAATGCTTGAAGGCGGCATCCCTTCAAGAGATGTATTCATGGGAATGTTATCTATAAAGTAAACCACAAGAGCATGCTGAAAGAGCATTCTTGCTGTAATGTGAAGATTTCGCTGATACTGTAACTGATAATAATGGAAGAGTGACATTTATTGTGTCTCCACCCAGCTGTCTCACAGTTCTAACATATTCACAAGCTCGTTGGTTAGGACACGGAGGCCCTTTCTGATGTGACTGAGCATCGTTTTGTGATGTCATAAAGATGAGGAATGAAGAAGGGGGGAATTCTTTTCCTAAGTTGGGAAAATACTTTTCCCAGACCTGTACATTGAGAAGGCACAGAAGTTGTCTGTTTCATCCCAAATGGAATATTGATGTGCCAAAAAGCTGGGGCTGGGAAGATTGCTAGGGGGTACATTCTTTATCACTGCATGAGAGTGCATCAATGATTTTGTGCTGGCAGAGCAAACCAACATTCTATAAGGCAATTCTTAAAATGGAGGCAGCCCAAGCAGGAAGGGAAAAAATACAATTTTTAAGCAAGGCTTGAGATTAGCACCAAATTTGGCACAGTTGTAGCAGAAAAAAAATACAATTTTTAAGCAAGGCTTCAGATCAGCACCAAATTTGGCACATTGTATCAGACTGTCTGCTCTTGCTCTGTGCCAGATTTGGAGATATTTGGGCAAAGAGTTTTCAAATTATGATTTTTTAAAAAGGAAAAGTGTTTTACCCCCTGTTCTTAAATAGGAGATCCTAAGCATCTCAAGATTTTAAAAGATCATATACAGTCATGGCCAAAATGTTGGCACCTCTGCAATTCTGTCAGAAAATGCAACCCTGCTCTCAGAAAATTGTTGCAGTTGCAAATGTTTTGGTACTCGCATGTTCATTTCTTTGGTTTGCGTTGGAACAAGGGTGCCAATAAGAAGGGAAAAGTCAAATCTGATACAATCCCACAGCAGAAACCCGAAAATGCACTGGCCAGAGAAGGGTTGCATTTTCTGGCAGAATTGCACTGGCCAGAAAAGGGTTGCATTTTCTGGCAGAATTGCAAGGGTGCCAATATTTTTGGCCATGACTGTAAATTTAAAAGACCAATCTTTTAAAGAAGAATCCGGGCTACAGGGTTTGAAATATTGGTCCTTCAAAAAGGCTTTTCAAAAGGGGAAACAGTGATCTCTTACCACACTGAACATGCATAGAACAGATTAACAGCAAAACCGAAAAGGGTTGCATTTTCTGGCAGAATTGCAAGGGTGCCAATATTTTTGGCCATGACTGTAAATTTAAAAGACCAATCTTTTAAAGAAGAATCCGGGCTACAGGGTTTGAAATATTGGTCCTTCAAAAAGGCTTTTCAAAAGGGGAAACAGTGATCTCTTACCACACTGAACATGCATAGAACAGATTAACAGCAAAACCTTTGCAAAGCAGATACGTACACTGTTCAAGTTTTGTGGGTGGGGAAGGGAGATATTTGGATAGCTTAGGGCAAGTAAAGGTCAAAGAAATAGAGTAAAATAAAGTTTTTCTTTAAAGAGTCAAAAATAAACAAATGCAGGCTTGCTTTAAAGAATATAATGTGCTTCCAGTAAATATTCTCTCAGGATTTCTGAGACCAGGCTTCTGACACAAGTCTTCAAATGGGAAATCAGATCCACATCTGGAGAAATTTGAACTTTTGAATCTGTAAGTCAGAACCCAATTGGAATTTTAACTCTTTCCTGACCACCACCTGTTTGGCCCCCTTCTTCCATTGATCTTCCTTCTTGCAATAGACATAAGTAGTATATACTGTCCATTCCCCTGGTTCTGTTTCCCCCAGCGGCACTGCCAATCCTTCCTTTCTTTGCCTTTTCATCTCTTCTCCCTCTTTTCCTATCTTACTCCCCTCAGGTCTCACATTGCGATATTGCTGTCTTCTTTCTATTTCCTCTATGGGCAGTTTCATTTTAACATGCTCTCCTGTCCAGGGGTCTTCCATTTCTAACCAAACCCATCCTAGAGGAATGCCTTCTTCCTTCACATCCTCTCCTTTCTTTTTCTTCTCCTCCTTTTCTACCTCAGTCTCCCAGTCTAGCTCTCTTTTCCCTTCTTCCTTCTCCTCAGCTCTTGTCACCAGATATCCTTCTACTATTGGCTCCTCCCCTTTCTCACCCTCCTCTCGCTCTTCTTTCCTGCTCTTTTTCTCCTCTACAGTACTCTCAGTTGGGCCACTGCTGGTATCAACGTATACACTGTCTTGCATCCTTCTGTTGTGGGCGCTGGAGGGGACGGCTCACACTCCTATTTTCTGTTGGGAAGTGGTTCCTATATTGTATTGTTATCATCAGTGCACCACAAAAATGTGTAGATGAATACTGTGCTGCAGTAACATGAGGTTAAGAATAGGCCATAAGTCAATGGCTTTTTAATGCAAGAGGACTGGCTTAAGTGGATTATGGAGTACAGCCAACCAATAAAAAGCAACTCATCACACAAAATGTTGATTATTTCAGAGTGATCTGGAACTACTTTATTTCCACATACTATGACACAATGCAGTACCTTTAAAAGCAAACAATGAATCGTGATTTTAAAGTATTGCACCAGCTGAGAGCATTTTTTACCAATTAGCAATCAGAATTCTTCTACTATTGGTTTTTGTTATAACAAGATTTTAAGTGCATGGAAAGTATATATCAAATAGCAGCGAAAATGATATTTTGATGTCCAATGTTATGCCCAATGAAAGAGGAGATTTTCCAGTATAAGAACTCCTGAACAGACCACACACATACACTACGAAATAATTTCCTTACTGTTTTATATCTCAAACCAGATTTTCTTACCTGAGAATGTACTTAATGGCCAGAATCTTATTGGGAATTTTTACTGGCTTAAATGTAATTTTGCAAATCATGGTGGCAAATTTCTGCTAATCAAAAAGTTACCACTTGCATTCCTGGCCACGCCTCAAGGTGCAAGACTGCTACACAAGTCCTACAACCCCTAATAGAACTCTGGCCACTAACATTAAAGCTAAAGGCACACAATACCATAATATCATTCCTGAGTTTAGTTTCATACCAAGCTATGTTGCACAAAATGGAAGTTTTAAACTAATGCTTCTCCCTGTAAGCAGAAAGTTAAATCCAATGCCACACTGCAGGTTGGAGAAAGCAGTATTTCCAAAAAGAAATAATTAACAACATGGAGGAGAGGGATGAGAAATAAATGGAACAGAACTATTGTGCTGTCCATTCATCCATAACTGCTCATTCGCACTAATTGCTTCTAGTAGTTTACATGAGCAACAACCTTCAGAGGTAAGTGCATGCAGACCTTCTAGGTGGCTATATATTCAAGTTTACAATAAATACAAGGATTTGTTTGAAAGTTCATTCTTTCTGATGGCATGTGTCCTGTCCAAGTCCAGATCAAAGATAAAGAACCATCAGAAGAAGAGCAGAAGCCTTGGGGTTGCCCACCAACCATTAACACCTGGCTGACCAACTGGGGAGATGCTTAAGTTATTGGGACATTGCCTGCCAGCTATGTTAAGATGTACTGTATGTCTGCTTAAGTCAGAGTAATTATTTCAGAATTTCCATCTAAGTGTACATGTACATGCTATTATAACACAAATCAGTGACCTCTTTTGCTTTCTTTGTCGGTCAGACATTTCCTCTTTTTTTAGCAATGTAGAGACAGCCATCTAACCTTCTGAAGTTCTGAGATCCCAAATGTACTCTAAGTTACAGTTTGCACATGCGGAGCAAAACATTTCTGATATGAGGCTTCTGGTACACGAGAGCCATACCTATACATTATGTCCATGCACACTAAGACAATTCTAATGATATATCAAGAAAAAAACAAATATTTAGCACCCTTGTTCCAAGGAGTTAATGCATTTCCCCCTCTCTACCCTGTGAAGTAGGTTAGGCTGAGTCATGCTGACTTCTTTAAGAGTGATCAAGCTTCTTGCCTATGTTGGGGTCTGAAATTCAGCTTATGCCTACTATGCAAAGCAGACGACATCTGAAGTACTCAGAAGCCTTGTACATGATTCTATATGTCAATCGATCCTGCTGAAGGGAAGGAACTAGTCCAATGGAATATCTATAATTATCCAGCAATTCAGGGACATCATTACTTAATAATACTGGTGCTGAATAATTCCACAGTGGCTTCTTGTATGCTTCAAAGCAAGCAGTGTGTTAATAAATGATGATGATGATGATAAAAATAAAAACAAAATCAATACAACTGCAAATCTAAATTTGCAATGCATAAATTTTGGAAACTAGGCAGAGAATTATTTTTATATACTTATAAACAGATATGTTCGATTTATGAGTTGTTTGGTTTTAAGAGATGAGCAGTCAGTTTTCTGCAATAGCGCTGTGTTGTTTTTTTTTAATGCCATGTGTGGAAATGTCCCAGTTTACCCAAGAGCAATAGAAGAGTAGACCCGTAATCTATTAATGGCTAGGATTGATTTTCACTTGACAATGTCACCCCAGCCTGTTCAATAGTAAAATGTCCTCTTTCTACTTTAAGCACAGGATAAGGACTGTACTAATGGAAGTTTCATAAATTACCATTGAGATTCCTTGATTGTATAAATCTAAGTGATATAGTAAACAAAAGTGTTATAGATCAGAAATAGAAGGAATAGACAGTAAACAATGAGAAAATACTGATGCTAAACTAGATCTCATCTTCTGACTCCTGGTCTCTCTCGGTTGTTTTCAGCAATCCTATTTCCATGGTTGGAGTTTGTTTCATTTTTGAACGAACTACCCTGGAAAGAGAAAATAAAGTATAACATTTTGTGCTGAATATATTTCCACACAAGTGATCATGCAGAGGACTGGCTGTTCACATCTGGAATGCCGCATTAACACTAGTTCCCAACATTCCACTCTTCTCTCATCTTCCCATTTCTATCACATGTTAGCATTGGGGGAACAAAGATGTTGTTGGACTACAACTCCCATCAGACCTAGCTTGCACAGCCAATAGGGAGGAGTGCAGGGAGTTGTGGTACAAGAACATCTGGAAGCCAAGTTCCTCTGGAGTGACTAAGAAAACATAACCCACAATGAAGCTCCTAAGACAGATGTAGCCTTGATTCTCTGTGACTGGTACCCACTGGGCCAGATGGTAAGTTCAGTCCTTATCATAGTGTTACACCAAAATATAGTCATTTGCTCCAGTACAACATTATGATTCTTCAGTTAAATGGAGGACGAAATTTAACAGAGGTACTCCCTTGCTAAGTTATTAACTCCTGCTCATCAATAACTGCAGGATTAACAATGTAAGTACATAATAACATGGTGGAACAAACCAAGACAGTCAAATTAGGTGAGATAAAATAGTTCAGAATCTATCCAGACAGGAACATGAGATTGTTCAAATGCCCAAACATTTAGCCTTGCTAAATGGTTTTTATAACAAAATCAGCCTTTTCAGGCATGTTACACAAAGCCCTTCAAATCATCTGTTCTTTAACAGAATTCACTTACCAGCTGACTATAGTATAATTCACTGCCATTATAAGAAAAGCAAATGCATAATGCCAGCAATAGCACATTGTGAGGAACATAATGTTATTATGATCCATTTGGTTCCATTCTGGACTCCCACTCGGAGGATAAAGTACAAATCCAATCTGTGAAAAATCACAAGGTATTTGATTTAAACATATTAGTTTTTTAATTGTAGCTCGTACTATCAAATTTTATACACCTTCATGTCATGAGGTAGTTGCTAGGGCTTAAGGAGAGGGTGCTGCATCTTTGATGTAGATACCAATCTTACTGGTCTTGAGGTAGTCAGAAGAGTTTGGTTCAGTTCCTAACAAGTAGATTAAACACAACACACTTACTTCTTAGAGGTTTAAAGTGAAAGTGAATAATAATTGATCCTACAGTATTAGTCCATAAGGTCCACAAAGACCAGTCACTTCTTAGAGGTTTAAAGTGAAAGTGAACAATAATTGGTCCTATTAGTCCATAAGGTCCACAAAGACCAGTGCAAGATGGAACTCTGAATGGTTTCTTTTTTTCCTGGGATGTCTCCCATATTCCCTCCTGGCCATGTGCTATAGACTGGAAGCACAGGTCATTGTACTTAATCACTCTCTTGCTTGCTGAATGTTCATGTTCCATGCACTGCCAATCTGGTAATTACAGTGGACCTTCTACTTACGGAATTAATCCATATTGGAATGGTGGCTGTAGGTCAAAAAGTCTGTAGGTCGAGTCTCCATTGACCTACAATGCATTGAAAACCAATTAATCCCGTAACCGGCCATTTCTGTTCCATTTTTGTTCCATTTTTGTTTTTTTCTGGTCTGTAAGTCGATTCTCCAGCTGCAAGTCGAACTTAAATTTTGCGGCCAGAGAAGTCTGTAACTCGAAAAGTCTGTAAGTCGAGCTAGTGTGATTTAAAAGGTCCACTGTATTTACCTAAAGGGGGAACCCAAATCCTTAAATTCAGCTCTAGATTGCAGGCTGGCTTATTCCAACTGCTAGAAAACAGAGTTTGGAAACATTGTTTTGTGGGACTATAGCTGCAATTGTATTCCAAAAAAGTAATATTTCCAAACTCTACTAAAAGCACACGATCTGACAGCAGATGATACAGCCACACTAATGAACCTAAGGCAGTCTAGACCACTGATTGGATTAGAAATTGAACCATTTACACTGCATTGAGTTCCACAAGAAATATTAGATGTAAATATACTATTTAAAGAACAAGCTAGATTACATATAGGCTGAAACTCTGTTGCTTTGCATAGTAAGCCACAACTAGAGGAGACTCAGTTGAACATATTAAATCCCTACTAATTCAATGGGCCTACTCTAGTGTGATTTACTACACTAAGCATCATGATTTCAGCTACTGGGGCCTGAGCAGCTTTCCAACAAGTTACTCCCTACAACAACCTCAAATGCCAGTTCAGTCCCCCATCTAACCTAGCAGGACCACTGAAATGCCTAATAATGCTACTCACAAAAGCACAGATTTTTTTTTCATTTGCCCCTCCACTCCCATGAGTAGTGGCCTTCTGCACTTTAGCTTGGCAAACAAGCCAAACTGTATGCAAAAATAAAAAAAAAACAAAAAGCATATAAATGAGATATAAAACATGGTAGAATTCAATCCCTATAGGAGAAAACTTCAGCCTCCCAATATACAGTACTTCGACACTGATTTCAAGGAGGCCACAGTGGTGGAAAGAAATTTTAGAGGGAGCTTAGAACAAATGACCCAAGTTGTGATTCACCAGAGGTATGAATTGGGACAGAGATTCCTTATCACACTACGTCTGTAAATGGCCAGGACATCCATGATAACACCTCATGCCTCTGATGAACCAAACTACAGTCTATTAAAAGTTACGCTATAAAACCTTTGTTAGTCTAAAAATATTCAACAGGACTATTTTCTTTGCTGCAAACATTGATACAATGGCCCCTTGGAAAGCCACAAAGTTGAAATAAGATTTGAAATCTACGTATTAGAAATTGATTACTATCATTATTTATACAAAAGATCAATGTTGCACCTGTTGCACAGATAACACTTATAATGAATGGAGAAATGTAAAACCAACTATGAGAAAAATGACCTCATTTTATGTCTAAAGCTCAGAAATAAATACATCAGCAGAAAACACTTCAGTAACGCCACTAATCTGTGTACAAATTGTAACATCTGTAAAAGCCCTTCAGAAACTGAGTTATGTGCTAGGAAATTTAAAAGGTGCAGCTTGCACTTGGAGGAGCTCTCTCTCAAAAGGTATAGGGCAATCCTGCACAAGCTACACCCAGACTCTCACCATATGACAGAACAAGGACTCCTAGTAAAATTTACAATTCTACAATAGAATATGTACCCTGCACAAGACAATGCAACAGTTGCTTCTTCCATGACATTGACACATATTCATTAAAACACTGCAGATGGGAGAATTGCTTCAGACTCACATAGGCATCCTTCAGTCTCGAGACACTATGGTAACGTGCTCTGTATGGAGAATTTGGATCAGCGTCTAGTGTTTTGACGCTGTACGCGAAGCTGGAGTGTCCTCTCCAGGGCATGAAGCCTGGGCAAAATAATATGGAGGATAGGCTGTTACCCAACTGGCAAATCCCCCCTCTCCACATCGCTGAAATAGTCCAATGGAAAGGCAAGAGCCAATACAACTGGTTTCAGCGACGTTGCAGGAGTCGACAGAAGGACACGAACTGCCTCCGAGACTCCAGCTCCGGATTTCGTCTCAAGGTTAACTCCTGAAGCCTTTTCCCTCAGTGGATATAGCCACAAGGCAGTGGAGGTTTGAAGTTGGAGTTTTCCTTCTCCTAAATGGGCTGCCTTCCAGGGCTTCAGACTACAATTCCCAAAATCCCCTATCTAGCATTCTTCCTAGCCATGTGTACTTCTCTGAGTTGTAGTCAAAAAAAGTAACTTTTCTGAGCTCTAGACATAAAATATTCAGTTTTATAAAGAAAATCTGCACGTTTTATATTATGTTCTACTCTCCATAATGCCAAAATGTATTTCATTTCCTTCACTATTATATATGCACATGTAATATACCTCAATACTTTTTTGTTCACCTTGTCAGAGGAAATTACATCAATGTGTGGTTTGCCACCCAGTGATAACTGTCATTTTTAGTTGGGGAGAGTAGGAAAGAAGTTATGGTGGTAGATCAAATTATGGAAGTGGGACAGAAGAATTGTTTTTTTTTTTAAATCTGACAGTTTCCATCATTTAGTATTTCTGCATATAGACCATTAAGATGTACATGCAGAATTTAGCTCCTTCTTGTAGTTTTAAGGTTTAGGTGTGTGGTTTGGCCCTCTCAATTTACTAAGCTTGCACAAAAAATGAGCACACTGTTATACACATGACTAAGTACACTGTCGGTTTCAGAGTTCTCTTTGTGTCTTCATTTAACCATTAGTTCTCTTTTCCTGCAGACTCAAATTAAATAGCCTCAATAAATGTTCACATTTTAAACAAGGCTATTAAAAAACAAAATAAGTTTAATCATATTTATAAAGGATTATATAAAATCTTCGAGTGCTACTCTCTATGTAGTCAAAATGGCATAATTGCCATAGTAACCATTGGAAGGGAGGAATTATTAGGCTTGATAAAACTCTGAGATTAGAAAAATTCCACACATGTGTGTGCACACATGCACACACACACACACATGTACACACACACATGTACACACACACACGAGAACATCCAGGAGGAAGAGTCTGAGAGCATGTATTCTCAAAGGCTTTCAGAGCTGGGATCTGATGGTTGTTGTAGGTTTTTTGGGCTGTCTGGCCATGTTCTTGAGGTTTTTCTTCCTAATGTTTCACCAGTCTCTGTGGCTGGCATCTTCAGAGGACAGGAGTCAGAACTTGTCTGTGCAGAGGACAGGTGTTCTGACGATGCCAGCCACAGAGACTGGGGAAATATTAGGAAGAAAAACCTCAAGAACACAGCCAGACAGCCTGAAAAACCTACAAGAACCATCAGAAATGGAACAGCTGGAACCTTGCTTTGGAGTGTAGGGAAGGATTCTCATTTCTATGAAAATGTCGATTAATACAGAATGGCCAGAATCATGTTGAGTTAATTATCATCCTCCCTCCTGCCAGATAATTGCTGGTACTAAAGACTTCCTAGTTCCATTTTGGGGTTCACTGGACTCGCCTATAATAAGACTGATTGTAGCCAACTAGCCAGTGAGTCAGACAATCCCAGCATCAAGGCAGGAACTCTTTTAACTAGTGGCCATTTCTCTCTGTCTGTCTGCCTGCTGGCAACATCATCACCCTTACGCAAGTGCAATATACTCAACAGGATTTTGGCCACTGCAAGTGGAAAAATATTTAAGGCAACATATAGAGATATACAAATGTGCTTTCAAGAGATGCAAGAGAGATTACCAATGTTTCCTTCTGTGGGCATGCTGGCTGGGGAAATGCAGTAGTCCAAAAATGTAACTTTTATCACCTGTAAGCCAGACTCACTATTATGTTAGGCAGCCCAGTCCTTCTTAACACCATATATTTCTACTAGCATAATAGCCACGAGGAAACCTCCTGGGCTGACACAGGTAGCAGTAAAGCAGGAAGGGGACAATGACAAAGCAGCCACTGTTGAACTTGAACACGGTGTCCTGGAGAGACACTATAGTTGTAATAATGATACAGTACATTGTTATAACAGTGAGAGCTGCCTGGTAATTGGAGGAGTGTAGAAGACAGACAGCAGGGCACTGATATCATCATCAGCAGGCTCTTGGCAGCTCTCTGAGGATGTTGGCTGCTAGCATTATGCCTGATCTCAAAGTTTTGCTGAGCCGAAACTGATCATAAAGTCAGGAAACAGCGATTCACTAACCTGCCAGAACCAGCTTCCTTGCAGTATACAGAGACTTGTCCGGAACATCTCAAGGACAATGATGCCTCGGAAGAAGACTTCCAAGAAGACACAGATGGCTGCACCAAAGATGGCCACTAAAAGCAACTGATGAACATGGAGATCTAGCATAGCACGCCCATGGATATGGTAATAAAAGAGAAAACCTGGTGACAGAGAAAGGGGTTAATAGATCACCTACTTTTTTCTTCTTCTGTATTTATTTACTGCACAAACTTTCTGTTATAATATAAGATATAATATTTTGGTTTTGTATGAAGTGAGTTATGCATGTGTACCTTTCCATGAAGCCAAGAAGCATTTGGGGAGTACACTTCGATATATGGAAGGATTCCCTCATTCCATTTACGTCAGCATCATTGGTGATGTTGAAGTAATAGCCAATGATGTTATGTGCAAGACCGTTTTGCACTTCCCAAGTGTGGACAGTTCAAAAACAACCCTGCCATGATGCTAAATGTGTTGTTCAAAACAATGCCAGTTCCTGCCTCCCTTTAAATAACGTAGGCCCATTATTTATCATATAGCACAGTCCCTCTGCTTCTTCTGTATAAGGGACCACAAATCTTAAATTCTTCAGTAACAACAATATGTGAAAATTATCAGCCTTGAGATACATAATTTCTTCCTTCACATTAAGTCATTTTATTCATGTTATTATATAGCATATTTCATTCTAAAGCAGCCATTCTCAACCTTTTATTGGCAATGTCCATAGTATGAAAGAAATATAGTCCTAATCAGGATTGTATAAATCACATTAGGAACCTTATAAGGTAGTGTGTGAAGAATTGTTTCCAGCCTCTGGCCCCTTTCAAATGGGCAGGGGGCTATATGGCTTCTTTTGAGTACGGGTGGATAAGCAAAATACATTTATAAATGACCAACGCGGGTCTCTTGCAAAGAGAGCATCTAGTGAAGAAGGAGAAGAAGAAAGAGAGCAAGAAAGAAGAGAATGGCAAGAAGAGAGAAAAGTGGTAGGGTTGTCTAGTTTGGGTCTGGTCCTCTCCACTACTGGTGCCTTTCTTGGTATGCCTCCCCACGCTAATCTCTCCTAGCCCAGAATGAAGCTGTCAAGAGAAGACAAGTTGCTTATCTTTCTTCCAAGGGACAGAATCATAGAGCTAGAAGAGAACTCAATCAATGCCGAGTCCAACAGAAATAATGTGTACCTACTAGAGATGGGGGTGTTCATGTTTGTATATCAATATCCCCCCACAGGTGGAAATAACGAGTGTCCGGCCCCATGGGCCTGGACTGCCCACTCATGATTCCATTGCTTATGCACACTCGATGGAGACTTCCTATCGCACCGTTGTCTGCAATGGATTACCCACTTTGTGACCTGGCAGAGGGGCTTGTCATCCCGCCTGCTGCCAGGAGTGGCTAATCTATTGCAGACAACGGTGCAATAGGAAGGCTCCATCAAGCGTGTGTCAGCGGTGGGACCGTGAGTCGAGCCGGATCCTCGTTATTTCCATCGGTGGGGGATATTCATATACAAATACAAATACCCCCATCTCTAGTACCTAATTAATTTCATTCTGATTCTGAAAAGATGTGTTTAATGAAGTCAGTAACACAGCGCAATAAACTTACCTTCCACAAAAATAGCTAGTGAAAGCATCATTCTGTCTAAGGCTACTGGCAGTGCATTTGTGCTGTGAGCCACAATGTCTACGAGTCCTGAGATACCATAGAAAAGATACATGGTTGCATGCTGCCAGTTCATTAGGTGATCCCATTGATTCATTTCATAATTATAAAGTTTCAGATGAGGTCCATCCGGAACAAATTGCTCAGCTATCATACCTGAGTGTGTGTGGAACAATGACAAAAGAAGTTGGTGATCTCCTTGGTCAGTCTTTTGTGCAAAATAATAATAATTATAAATATCATAAATAATAAAGATCATTGGGCTAATGAGAGTACTTACAAACTATACAAATATACTATTCATACTATACAAATAGTCAAAATCCAAATCAGTAATTTTGACTGCATATTTATTATTTCAATCAGATTCCAACTCAAATGTTCTATCTTGAGTGCTGTCAAATGTTAGGAACCAGAGGCTTGAATTCAATAATGTTTTGCAACTTTTCAAATTTTCATCTTTAAAACTATAAATATCTAAAAAGTAGGCTGAAAAGAGATTTTTGAAGTTTATCACAAATGTGCATTTTTAAATGCCTTCAGTATGCTGACTATTCCCAAAGAGAACCTGGTTCTCGGATGCATGTGTATGCATTTAATAATAATGACCTCAGACCAGATGCTGAAGTATGATTTAGATTAGCTTTCCTCAATCAGATATCATCCAGTGGATTGAAGTACAAACGTTGTTGTCCTTGAACAGTGTGAAGATAGTGAGATAATAGTCGAGCCCACCTGAAAAGTACTAGCTAGTGAAAATCTGACCTAGGTAGCTGATTGCTTTGGTAATGCCTAAGTAGTGCTAAAGCTGTTTTCCCCTAGACATCTAGAACATTTTCTAGACAAATTGTCCAGAATAAGTCTCTTCTCAGACATGTATCATTCACAGACAAGAGAGTGCAGCTTCAATAGATCTAAATCTCACCTGCCCATGCTCAGCTACTCGCATCCTAGGTTGGAGACACCAGTTACAACCAAGCCAGTGCTGCCCTGTTGTTCTGAATTGGGTAGAGTATGGCACTGTTTTCATTCAGGAGCTCTCTGGCTACCTTTGAAGTTTTACCAATGTATGAATATAAGCACATCAAAGATGACAAAGGCCTGTTCAATCCTGTTCAATCAAACTGCTCATACTATGGACAGTGCAAGTATTGTGACATTCACATTTTGTACCGAAGGACAATGTTTTCTTGGTAGGGAATACCACCTGTGCAACATCTTGAACTTGAATCATGGCAACCCCATATCAGGGGTCTCCTACTAACTCTCCTCTGGCTGAAGAAGATACTTGGATGAGTAGCGAAACATTTCAACCTAATAAGAAAGAAGTCTAGTTGCCATGACTCAACTTCCATATAACCTCACCTGGATGACTGAGAATCCTCACAGATACACCTGTGTAACAGTGTTGCTCAGACAAATAGAGCTACCTCACATTATTCTGCTGGTTGGGCTTTCCACCTAAGCACAGTTTCAAAAGGATCCTGGCCCAATGTTACAACTTCTGTCGCAGAGTATGATTACACTCTGAGATGTACTTCTTTAACATAAAGTTTGCAATAAAATACAGTATATTATTTTAGATTATTAGATGTATATTAGATAGATTAGATTAGATATTAGATTTGCAATTAGCCTTCGTCATTGAGCATATTGGATTCACTCAGCCAATGTACTGGTACCAACTAGTTGACTTCCCATTACTTGCAGCAAATAAACCACCTTTCCTTCATGGTTTGTTTCCTATGACATCTAGACCTAGCATTCTGGTTTCTCTCTCTGCCTATAAGCCAGAAAATTATTCAAGAATAAACTATGGGTTATTTCTCTGCCCTCTCAGGGGAGGATAAACCTGAGTGATGGGTCTTACCAGGAATCACAACATGATAAAGAAATCAAGAAAACAGATTCTGTAATTTGTTTAGCCACTCCCACTTGCAACAGGAACAACCAGACTGCAGGTCTGAGCATGCTATTTACAAACAATAAACCAGGTTTCTACAAACTAGGAAACAAAATCTGAACTTCTTGAACAATAAAGTTACACAAATGAAAGTAAAGCGCAATAAGAGGCCCAACACACAGTGTCATTTGAAATGACATCTGTGTGTCACTACAATTTGCTTTCGTTTCAAAAACTATTGTTTATTTTGTTATAAACATCTCAGATCTTAATGATACTTACCAATGAGAGCAAAGGCAACTTTGATGATGCCCTCGGTAAATTCTAAACGTTGAAATCCGGCTTTGGAACTGATGGAAGAAGCATTCTTTTTCCTTCGACAGAGGTACTTTAATGGATATTTCACAGACCACCACAAGCCAAACAGTAGGAAAAAACTTCCAGGAAGTGCATGACCTTTAAAATTTCCCATCTTTCTTAAGTAAAAACCTAAGGATAAATAATATCCCTTTTAAAAGCATCACTACCAATAATCTATTTTTATCTTATCTAAGCCCCAGTCTATAAATAAGCATTGTTTGATGATTAACAAGAAAATAATAAGTTATGGGAGTGAGCTGCAGAGAGTCATGCGTTCAAGTGTCTTCCCATTCGCTACAGCTTTAAGAAATTACTATTTTTCTTGTAATCCATTGTGAGTGGAGGAATAGAAGTGAGCCGTCCTCACAGACGCCCAAAGAAGAAGAGTGTGAAGGATGTGCCATAGGGGAATTGATCAAGTTGGATGATGATGAAAGCACGACCAACAAAGCAATAGAGGTTTTTTTAGCAGAGAGGTCCAGAGACTGGGGGGAGGAGTTAGAGACGTGGAGATGGGATGACAGTACAGTGGTGCCTCGCACAGCGAGGTTAATCCGTTCCGGATTAACCCTCGCTGTGTGAAAGCATTGTTGAATGGAACGTAAAATGCCATTGGAACGCATTAAACATGGTTTAATGCGTTCCAATTCGGCTGAATACTCACCGTTCAGCGATACTTCTTAATGGCCGGCAGCCATTTTCGCGCCCTCCCCTCGCTTAACGAGGGCGCGAAAACACTGCGCGTGATCATTTTGGGGCTTCCGGCGGCCATTTTGTAGCCACGGAACAGCTGATCGGCGGGTCGCAAAGCGAAGGTCGGTAAGCAAACCGCTTACCGACCTTCGCTCTGCGATTTTCCCCCTATCTAGGCACCGTTTTGCGATTGCATTTGCGATCGCAAAAACGGCATCGTTGCGCGGATTCGTCGCTCTACGGAGCGACCGTTGTGCGAGGCACCACTGTATAAAAGAAGAGGGGGGGAAAGGGGAGGAAGTTTGGAGGGAGTTAGCAGAGAGACACAAACGGTGGAAACGGGAGTAGAAAGGGAGCGGATCGCGACCCTTGTGAAGAGTTTTCCAAATCTGATGAGAGATGGGTTGTTGCCTCTTCCCAAGGAAATAGACAAGTTTGGAGCAGGTGAGAGGAGAAGGGAATGGAGGCTGGATGCGGCTTTGGCTACGCCCCCCTCAGTGGACAGCCGGACCCCTGGTGGTGTCAGTCCATTCCTACCCAGATTGGAGGGTTCGGTGGTGATCCATCCATGCTGCGGGACAACCTGCTCGGTGCTGAGTGCACCAGTCATGAACCAGAGTGTAATTTCCCGCTTTGGGGTGTGAAGAAACAGTAAAGGTTAAAGATGTGGGGCCAGGGTCCAAACCCAAGAAGTACAATTTGTTGACTAACGAAGGGATACCGGACCCGTTTGGTCCTGAGTTGTTTAATGTTAAAGTTAATAAAACAAATCCTTTTATAACGGCAACTTCGACTCCGACTGTCGTTCCCGCCGAATCCCTTGGCCCGCCCACTCTAGATAAAAACCCAATCACAGCAGGAGAGAAAATGACTTTTAGCAACTTTGACTCTGACTGTCATTCCCGCCAAATCCCTTGGCCCGCCTACTCTAGACAAAGAACCCAATCACATCCATGAAACTTCATACTAAAGTAAAATAGTCTTAAAGTTGCCACAAGCGCTCTCTGCTACCAAATTCTGGACTCCCTCCCATAGAAAGCCGGATTGGCCCCATCTTTGCTGTCCTTCTGCAAACAAGCGAAGACTTTTCTCTTCAGACAGACTTTTCCTTAGTCTGGGAGGTGTTTTTTTAATAGATTGTTGTGCCCTGTCCCTTTTTAATGTGTTTTTAATATTGATATTATTTATCATTTTTAATATAATACTTGTTTAAATTTTAAAAATATTTATATACTGTTTTTAGCTTTTAAATATTGTCTTTTTTATTTTGTAGGCTATCCTGGATCCTTTTTAAAGAGAAAGGCAGGGTAAAAGTGTTTTAAATAAATAAATCCTCCCCCTTTTTTGAGGGGGGTATTCAAACAGTACCAATTACACTTCAGTATCTGGTGGCAACTCATATGGAACAAAAGTTAAAATGGCTGTTTTTCATTAAACAGCTTTATTATTTCTGACCAAGAGACTTTACAATATGTGATATGAGAAAAAAATATCCAATTTTAAAACAAATGTCCATAGTAACTCTTCAAGATGTTTATCACCAGCCCAAACATAAGACTATTCAAAACAAAGTTTTCTGAACCTATAGTCAGGTTCTAGATTCCATGGTTCAAATCTAGTCTTGCTAGACATACCAAGACTGTATTTGAACCATCCTTTTCTTCTAGTTAGTAAATCATAATAAATATCTACAGACAGAATATGTTCTTAATATTGCCTCTCCATTTTAGGTAGGAGCATGATTTCAAATGTTTGCTGGGGGATTAGTAATAGCAAATTAAAAAAAAAAACCACAAACCTTCCCTCTTCTTTCATTTAATGAAGATTATACTGTAAAACTTCATTTGTTTGTGTTATATCTTGGTAGTTTTTATACCTTGTAATATTCATAGGAATATTAAGCCAGAATAGCCCCCTGGCCTTTAAAGAAGGTATTTCCACCTTGGCATGCATCCCTATATACACGGGCATGACTGTGTATTCCCCCACCCTTCCCTCCATGCATGTCCTGAACTTACCAGCCCTGCCCGAGTTATAATATTAATCGGGTTAAGGAGATGATGGGGACTCCACGGCCCACTCCTATTTTTATGTAGATATCTTTTATCTACATAAAAATTGTTGATAAGTTTTGGTTGATTGTTGTTGTTTAGTCATTTAGTTGTGTCTGACTTTTCGTGACCCCATGGACCAGAGCACGCCAGGCCTTCCTGTCTTCCACTGCCTCCTGGAGTTAGGTCAAATCATGTTGGTTGCTTCGATGATACTGTCCAACCATCTCATCCTCTGTTGTCCTCTTCTCCTCTTGCCTTCACACTTTCCCAATATCAGGGTCTTTTCCAAGGAGTCTTCTCTTCTCATGAGATGGGCAAAATATTGGAGCCTCAGCTTTAGAATCTGTCCTTCCAGTGAGCACTCAGGGTTGATTTCCTTCAGAATGGATAGGTTTGTTCTCCTTGCAGTCCAGGGGCTTCTCAAGAATCTCCACCACCACCACATTGGTTGATGCAATACTATTATATCTAAATCCTTAAACCAGCCCAATATAGAAACCCATATGTTTCTTATAGGCAATCAGAGAAGTAGAAAGTGATGCACGCCAGAGAATCTGACCCTCAGACTTGACCTGATGTTGTTCACAATAAGAATCCTCCATATTGTTTGGTCTCCAATTTTTTATCATGGCAAGCAGCAACACATTTTTTTCTCTCAGTCCTTAACTTCTTCAGCTTACTGTGCCATTCCTTTGTATGAGGACACCCTGAAGCTACTTAGTCTTTATCAGTTATTTGCCTGAAGCTTCTCAGTAGCTTCTTGGTTCCTTAGTATCTCCCAGTACTTGTTTTGCTTATTTCTTGCTTGCCTTCCACTCTACGACTATTTGGCAAACCACCCATAAAAGGGAAGCTTATACATTCTTGATTAATTTGTGAAAGGTTTCTGAAATATGATAAATTTAAATAGCCCTAAGCAGGTGCAGAATGCATGTTCCTCTCTCACAATGGATCATCAAGGTTTGGAGGAAAGTCCACCAAATCAGAACAAGGTATTTCCAAACAGAGTGAAAGAGAACCCTCTCACAGTAGCTAACTAGACGTCTCTGAGAAGCCCATATAAGGGCAATAGACCTCTCCTGCTACTGGTGGCTACTAACCACCATGAAAGAAGGACACAAGAAAAAATTGCATGCTGGGATTTCTTTTCTGAAATGTAAGGAATATTTGCAAAATAATTTTGACTGATATTTCAACCACAAGTGAACTAGCCTCATTTAGGAAAACTGGTCCTTTTCTGACACTGTGTAGGACAAGCTCCATAGCTGAAATTCTATTATGCAGTTATATAAATGGCAAAACCTTTGAGAAGCAAATTGCTGTAAGTTGGGAAATCTCCATGGACCTTATCTGTTGCAATCTGAGCCTTGTGGTTCAGTATGTGACAGATAAAATCTACAGATATTTCTTAGCTTTCTGTAATTTGCTTTTCAAAAGTTACACTGTTTACATAACTGCACAACGGTATTTGGGATGAGGGTGAATATGATTTCAAGAAGGGCCTGATTAACCAAAGGCCCATACAAACTCAATAAGGACACAGGGAGGCATCCTCAGGACATTTCTTCCATTATGGAACTCCTGTCACTCATGTTTGATTCAGAGTGCTTTTTGGACAGAACTTGAAAAAAAAAAACTCTCCTTTTTGAGGGGGGGGTCTGCATCTCCCAGAACCCTTGGGGCTGTTATCTACCCTCACCTTTTGGAAGGCACCTGAGACCTCTCTGTTGAACTGATCTTTGGGCCAAGGGCTTCATTATAGAACAGTGAGGAAATAAACTTGAATTACAATTGGTCATATTTTGTTTTGCCGATATTTTCTCAACTTACCCCTCCTGAGCTCATAAAAGTCAAGAGGTCAAGACATCTCCCCCCCCCCACCTCATAAAAGGTGGCTTTGTAAGGCCCCATATTGTAACTTGTACTATACTTGTCTGGAAAGGTGTGATCACCCCACTTCATAATCTACCTTTTTGAATACTGTATTACAGCCTTCATTTGTAAAAGTGTTACTTTTGCTAGAAAATGCTCTTTTCCTTAGTTTTTGATCTCATTGAATCCCATTGAATGTATTCTTCACAATACACACTGCAGGTGTAACAAAGCTGTTCCTTGCATCAAAACATCAAAGGCAGCGATTTCATACATACTGAGGCTTTGAACAGCTTCCATGCAGGGAGTGGTTTATAATTACAGTTTAAATTAATTGAATAACAGCTGCTGATTATGAAATGTTGCATATGCAGCAACATGGAATGCAAATACTCTAATAAAGACATTTAGATAAACAACACTTTGTCCAACACATGCACAGATGATAGAATTGACACTTTTTGCTTGTCTGTGAACTTGTTTTGGGGGATCCAGATGTTTTCTTCAATTAGCAGCCCTCCTGTGTTTTCCATTTGTTTTTCCCCCCAGCATTTTAACTCCCATGGAAAATCTGTTAAGGAAAAAATGATGGACGAGCTGCAAAATAAAGGAAGCCATAGCCTTTGGTCTGTAAGATCTGACCACAACTGTCAATTACAAGACTTTTCATAGGTAATTAATTCATACGTCACCATATGTCAGGAATGACTTAGTGACCCATAGCAACAATAGCTGTGCAATGTGTTCCAGTTTGGTGCACTATAATCTGAAGACACGTTTACATAAAAACTACTGAGCCATGGTAGTAGTGGTTAGAGTCTCAAATATGGAAACCTGACTTCAAATCCATGAAGCTCACTTGGTGACTTTGCACCAGTCACTCACTCACACCATGAATTACCTTTCAGGGTTTTAATAAGAATAAACTGGGGAAAGTGCAATATTTTGTGTTCATTGAAGTTAAGCTGGGATATAATTATAACAAACAAACAAATACACTGCTAGCAAATGGGGGGTGTAAAATGTGCCTCTTAATCCTTTTTTTTTTTCAGCAATTTTCTTTGCTTCGTAATACAATTAAGCATTATTTTTCAGTTTCCTATATAAACCTTGGAAGGAAGTTGAGAATGGCAGACAACCAAAAGGGTTTTTTAAGGAACTGATGACTACGGTAAACCTCTCAAGTTTTCCTTCTCATTTTCTGTCCACCTAGGCAGGTTTGTAATATTGACAGAGTCTCAAGAGTACAGAGATTTTGAAAAGCAAATTTGCTGTGTTCATTACAGCTGACTAGAAACAACGAAGATATCATGTTTTACATCATCCCTTGAAATTGTATAGAAATAATAAATATTTCCATCACAGTCTTCTGACGGTGAAAATATACTTACAGTGGTTCCTTGGAAGCAATATTGCTTTAGTTGAAATCTCAGCTCAGGCAGAAGTTTGGTGAATGATCTTAAAGAAGCTAAAATAAAAACAAAATTACTGTAGCACCTTAAAGGCTAACAGATTTTAGCTTTTGTGGAGTACAACCCACTTGTCAGAGATGTGGAAGATAATACTGTTCCTGGAGTTTATAGACAGAATATGTAGTACGGGGAGGGCAAATAGTATAGGAAAAAGAGGGAGACAATTACATTGTTCATGGATTTTCAAAATGACAATGACATTGTTAGCACCTGCAATGATCAGTCAAAACACTGATTACAGAGACATCCTGTTATCAGCCATCAAATGTTTTCAGGAAACGAGCTGAAGTTACAGTCAAATTAATAATTATGCACCCTCAAGTCAATTTTAACTTATGGTGACACTTTCCAGGGGTTTATAGTAGAGAGTACTTAGAGGTTATTTACTATTCCCTTCTTCTGGGGCCACCCTAGGACTGTGCAGGTTGTCCAAAGCTACACAAGCTGGCTGTTCTTCTGGAAGGCACAGTAGAAAGGAATGCCTTACCTCTGGCTCCATAACCAAGAGTCTCACCCACTGAATATCCAGTGTCAAAGAATTATGTCAAATAATAAAAAAAGATTCTGTATCTAGTTAATACCACAACTATGGGTGCAGACTATTAATCTAGCCAGTGTGCTAAGAAGCTTTCGTCCAATGCACAACTGAATCTGTGAATATAGCCCAATTCAGCTCTCTCTCTCACCTTTCTTTGTAATTCCTTTTCTCCACAACAGTTATTCTGACATCTATAACAGACTAACTTCCTAGGTGAAAGTGTTATGAAACTGGCTTTTGTGTTGCAATTTCCAATGTCAGTAATCGGTTTATTTTCTTGCATGCAATGCTCTGTGTGAAGTGCAGAGAGGCACCACTGGTGAAGATCCTGTAAACACATAAGTAATCTAGCTTGTACACTTTATTGACCGAGAATACTCACAGACAACTATTTTAATTCTTCACCACATCAGTGGCACAATATGGTACCACAGTACAAAAACATATTCACAGTCAACCTGGAACAATGCTGTCTCAATTCCTATGGCCTAAAGCCTCTCCTCTGTCTAAGATACTTTATTATCTGGATTCATGGGAGGAAAATCATTTGAAAATTTCCACCAGAATGTCAATAACTTTCACCCTACAATTAACCTATACGTACCTATATCTACATTATAGGCACACTTTTAGACACTACCATTCATCTACAGAATGGACTTCCAAGCTCAGTGGTTTAGATATCTGGATGTGGAGCCAGAGGTTGGGCGTTCAATTCCCCACTATGCCTTCTTGATACAAACTGGACTCAATCCATAGGGTCCCTTCCAGCTCTGCATTTCTCAATTGCTGATGATGAAATCCATTAATTAAATGTTTACATGCCTCCAGTTTTCACCCAGAAAACACACCACAAAATCTATTATCTGCTGCCAAGCCCTCTGATGTAACTACTGCATATCTGTTTAGATCTACAAGACAAGAGACTCAAAACTCACAGATTAACAGCGGGCATTTCACAATAACCACTTAAGGGGCGGGAACCCAAATTAATAGTGCAGGACAGCTACCCAGAAATAATATATATAAAATCAGTTGGATCATCTCAGCCACCACTACACTTTCTTTAGGTTGGTGGTGCTAATCTGTGCAATACCTGTATCACTGGCATGTTCTACTTCAGTTGACACTTCTGCACTTTTTACTAAATCATCGCTTGAATTAGGTAGGGACTTCTGCTGTGAAGGAGCTTGGTTACAATGTCTGCAATCTGTATGCTCTGAGTCAGAGTGCCATGCTATTGTGGCACTGAGGATTTCATTTTACAGTGCTCGCTTACAGCTCCGGCTCGTGAACTTATGGTCCTCCAGGGACTATTACCTTGTTGTTTCCAACAACTCTAGCCAGTATAGCTAACGGTGAGGCATGATGGGAAATGTAGTGTACCAACATCTGGGAGGCACTAGGATGATTCCAGCTGAAAAGATCTGCCATAGAGTCAGAATTGTAAGTCATCCCCAAAAGTAGTAAATAAATCTATTTTGTTTTTGAAACCTATTGATCATGTATACAAGCAGATAGATAAAACATGATGTACCCCGTTTTCCAAGTTATTTTAGTACATTCTGTGTTCCCATCTAAATCCTAGTATACAAAGACAAGAAGACAGACAAAATGAAAAATGTCCTCAGAAGCTGCTACCTGCATCTCATCTCTTCCCTTCTGCCAAACTTCCCAGCCTAGGAAGAGATAAACCCCCGAACTTCTCATCCCTAGACGTTTGTTCCCTAGACCAATTCCCGCTGCAACAAGGCACCCGTTCCTTCCCGTGGGGTTCGTCCAAGCCAACTTCCTCGCTGGATAATTTGTGGCCAAAACAACAGAAGACAGAAGTATTCAGCGTGAGATGCTCAAAGTTCTTTAACCGCATTCCCAGACTCGATTAAAAGGATGACATTCCCACAGAATGCCGTGAGGGAAAGTTGGCCATACATGACATATTGACTGGGACTGTTGAAGAAGATCCCGAGCTACGGAAAAAAAAAAAAAAAACGGGGGGGGGAAATTTCCCCCAGGAGCCAAAGCTTCGCTTCTACTTCCTTTCTGTCACACAAACCGGCGTTAAAAAAAAAAGTAAAAAATTAGAAATCTGCAGGTAAGAGTATTTTGGCAAAGGCTTACCTAATTGGTCTGCTTCTCTGCAACTTATATTGTGATGGTTTATTTTAAGACAAAATGCTCCTCTTTGGAACTTCAGAGGAACCTCCCTCTGTGGTGGCCCCGTTTAAGGTTTTTCAAGTATGTGGACGTGCGGCTGATCTCATCGTTCCCCTCCCGTAACTGGGAAAGAAGACTCGAGCCACTGTTGTCTGCGGAGGAGGATGCTCCCCCCCCCGCGCCTCCATCCCGCCTCCTTCGGCAGCTGCCCAGATGCGCCTCTCCGGGCTGCACCGCTGGGGCAAGGGCGCCAGCGGCTTCTCTCCGCCGCTCTCCGCCTCCGTGACGCCCCCGGCCCCTCGCCATTGGCGGCTTGGGGTCCCCTCGCCTCCCGATAGGGTGAAGGAGCAGTCAGTCTCCGAGGCAGCCCACCAGGAGGGAGAGTTGACCGCCTTTCCCCTGCTTGGAGGGGGGGGGGACAAGGCAGGCAGTGATGTGGCGCTGGGGTGAAGTCGGGGCCGAGGCGGGGGCGGGCGGAGTATCCCGCCGTCGAGGGGCCTTCATGGACAGCGCGGGGAGGCACCCCCTCGCCCGGCTTCAGAGCCTCTGGTTTGAGTGCCGGCGTCCCGCCTCGCTGGGAATCCCGAAACGTCCTGAGGAGAACCTCCTGAAAATTCACCTCTTTCCAAATAGAGGGTTTCATGGATTTTTCAGGCGAAGAGTTCCGGAACATCTGGTTTTTTAGGAGTGTTTCCCCGCCTCCCGGGTCTCCTCCCGGCGTTCCCCTTAGAAACCACACGTTCCTATTTGTATTTCTGGGAACACGTAAAACGGTCCTTCTTTGGCAGATTTTTTTTTTTTAAAAAAATTGTGGTATCAGTTACTGAAAGACTGCCATTGCAGAACTGACTTAGACCAGTGGTATGTACTTAATTTTTGAAAAACAGGAGAGGTGTTTGTGACCTCAAGTCAAACCCATCCCTGCAGCAAGTAGAAGCAATTTCCTTTCATTCCTCAGATGAATAACACATCCACTATTTTTTCTGATTTTTATAGGCATCTCACAAACTTTCCTCATTCAAAAAGTTCCTTAGGAATACTTTGGAAGAGGTTTTCTGATGTGGATTAATGTTGTTCTTATGTGCAATCAAGTCACCTCCAACTGATGCCAAGCCTTATGAGTGAGCGATCTCTAAAGTGTCCTGTTCTCAACATTCCTGATCAGCTCTTGGAAACATAAGCCTGTGGTTCCTTTACAGAGTCAGTCCATCTCATCTTTGGTCTTCCTTTTTTCCTGATGCCTTCAACTTTTCCTAGCATTATTGCCTCTTCCAGCAAATCTTGCCTTCTCACAATGTGCCCAAAGTATGCCCTTCCAAGTCTCAGACTTATTCTTAGCTCAGGACTACAGTCTCCATTTGGATTGATGGTTGGTACAGGGGACGTGGTGGCACTGTGGGCTAAACCGCAGAAGCCTGTGCTGCAGGGGCAGAAGACAAAGCAGTTGTAAGATCGAATCCACGCAATGGAGTGAGCTCCCGTCGCTTGTCCCAGCTCCCGCCAACCTAGCGGTTCGAAAGCATGCAAATGTGAGTAGATAAATAGGGACCACCTCGGTGGGAAGGTAACAGTGTTCCATGTCTAAGTCGCACTGGCCATGTGACCACGGAAGATTGTCTTCGGACAAAACGCTGACTCTATGGCTTGGAAATGGGGATGAGCACCGCCCCCAGAGTCGAACACGACTGGACAAAATTTGTCAAGGGGAACCTTTACAGAATCATTAGCAATTTAAATTTATTTGTTGTCAACATTACAGCTGTGTAGTTCTTCTGTAGTCATGTTTTTTGTCTTAATGTTCAACTTCAGTCCTGCTTTGGCACTTTGTCCCTTCACTTTTATCAGACGTTTCAAGTCATTGCTGCTCTCTGCCAGTCAGATGGCGGTATCTGCCTATCTTTATTAATTAATTAATTCAATTTCTATCCTGCCCATTTAATTACTAGTGTTTCTTCCTCCATTTTTCATTCCCCCTTCATCTGGATCTAGTCTGGCTTTCTGTATGGTGTGTTCTGCATAAAGACTGAACAGATAAGAGGATAAAGTGCACTGTTTGTCTGACACCTTTGCTTATAAAAACCCATTCTCTGACTAAAAATATCCTATTCCAGTGCACTTGAGTTCACTGATACCAGGCACATTCTATTTCTTACAATTTCCTGTTAACCTGACTCATAATTCTCATATTCCATTAGCCAATTGTATGTGTTGTGCAGCATTGGACTTTCCTTTCACTTTTGTACACATCAGTCACTAGATGTCCTTTCAGCTTTAACTTAGTTGCATCATTAGTGTCAGAGCTATTCATTCTTGTCCTTTGCTCCTCCTCAGTAACTGACTGAGCACTTTTCAGCTTAGGAGTCTCATCTTGCAATGCTATGTCTTGCTTCATTTTGGAGTGTCTAATCATAGGAATTTTCATAGTAAGAGAGGTTCAATAATGGTTTACCATTGCCAGTTTCTGCATAGTACTAACAAAAGTTAGCTTGAGTGTCACTACAGTTGCCTCACCCTCCTCCAGTGTCACCTTCACCTATCACTGCTGCTCAGTAGCTACCACCCTCATCACCATTGATATTATCAATTCTCTTCAGTGATGCAGCAGCTGTTACAAATTAAAATCTCAGTTTCTTCTTGTGATCTTAGTATATCAATCATCATTTCAGCTCAGGATGTACAGTAACTTTCAAATGAAAACTGCAGGCTCTTAGCAGAAATTAGCGATTGCTGAACAAAACTAGGATTCACATGTGATATACACATTATGATTTTAACTTTTTCTGCAGCATATTGGCCAGCACATACACTTGGTTTAAAATTTGATCTCTTCGACTTTTTGTCCTGTATTAATAAAATTCAGCAATGACACAAGATGCTGCCGGTTAAGGCTCTCATTGTGCAGCTGCTGTAACTTGTGGTAGGGAGGAAACTGAGATTCAGTTCATTAAAGAATCCAGATTAGAGCAATTTGAATGTTTGGACATTCCTCAGCAGTGAAGATTGCCGCCATTTGAACTGAAGACACATTCTGCAGATTGCAGACATATTGAATTTGTGTCCATTACAGAGGCCACTGGTACAGAAAGGTGCTTGATTATGCAAGAAATTTGTGCTACAGAAAGATACAGATAGAACAATACAGATAAGATACACCAATAGATCTGTTTGGAAAGAAAAATGACTTCTCAACATTGTATCAACTTTTATGCTATATTTTAGATACAGCAGCAAATCACAGCACAAATAAAAATCCTGTGAAAGTAAAGGACATCTTAGGCAGTCTAGCCTCATGCAAATGGATATAGAAAGAAGTTTCCACTGGAGACTAAGGTGCTCATTCAAATAGGAGTTTATCCACAGTAATCCTGCGAGAGTTTAAGAGTTCTGGTCTTGCCTTCTGAGCTTCCCATTGATATTCTGTTGAAGGAGAATGACTTTACTTATGTGTTTAGTGATGAGAAGGTCTGTGGTAAACCTGTTCTAAATCCCAATGAACCATTCAGAAGGGGTAGGTCAGGCAGCCAAGATGCCATCATTCCAGTGCCAAAAAATGAAAGTGAGAAGATGCGGGCATGCGATGGCCGGACACCTCACTGCTGACTGATTTGCACTCCTTGCCAGTTTAACAGTTATTATTCGGAATATTGTCAGCTCCAGTACTGTATTTCTCAGCAGCTGCTAAGCCTCAGTGTTCTATTAGTGTCCATTTTTGCTGAGAGGCTACCTTTTCTGTGACATATATTTTTTGACATACCTCTTTCTAGTTTGCACATCACTTTATAAAATTAGTTGTATTTGTCCTCACATGACTCCGAGGTGGAAGCAAGAGCTCTCATTTTGCAGAGAGGAATGTGTGTTGAGTAGTGGGGTCTTGCCAAAAGGTATCTGAAGACTCAGCAGCTGTGGTGGACACTGGAAAGAATTTTCCAACTTTACATATATGTTTTTTAAAATTCTAGTGGACAAAACGTTTTCGCATAAGAAGCTCTGTGGGAAGAACACTGGGAGAACTTTTAGAACAAGGTGGTCCAGTGAAGAAGGAATATATTTTGGAATCCAATATTGAACTGAAAATTGAAAATTAGGTGTATGTTATATGTATCAAAGCTGGCTGGATAACTCAGTAGCTTAGGTATTGAGTTATCCAGCCAGCTTTGATTTGATTCTTCATTGTGTCTCCTGTGAGTAGAGCTAGTCTGTTTGGCTTTGGGCAAGCTGCTCGGTCCCAGGGTGCCCTCAGAAGATGAGAATAGTAAACCACTTTTTGTGTTATCTCTACCTGCAAAACCCTGAAAAGGATTGCCATAAGTCAGAAGTGACACCGTATGATTGTTATATCATTACATTTAACAAGTCTAGCCATTTTCTAGTTGATCTTCTGTATGAGTGTACTTTTCAAACAGAACTAAATTTATGTAACTCTGATGTTGTACATATCTTCTTATCCTTTGCTCTGTCGTGGTAGTTTTCTTATAAGAAGAATAAAAAGAGGCTGACAGTACTACTCTTCAGGAACCCTCAAAATGTGACAAGGAAAAATACCTTCTTTTTTTCCTGCTTTATTTTTCTACAGAAAAACTGATTTCCTGCATTCTGAACTTAATACTCTGTGGTCTGAAAAAGAGAAACACACTAGAGAATTTAGCTTTAATTTTAATTGACCCCACACAACTGTGACAAGAAGAACCAACAATATACATACTCATGGCTTGCGCTTCAACACTGTAAATGTATGTGTTCAACAATATTTTCAGATTTGTTGTAATTTGTCAATGGAAGCTTTCTACACAATGGGAATTTAACTTATCAAGAGTAAAAAATAGTTTCAATTTAAATCCAAGAAGACACCTCTTATGATCAATAAAATGCGAAAGTTAACCTTCATCCACAAGGCTGAAAAACACTGGCTGAGATTTGAGCTATTTTCAGGCCCTGTTAGAATTGCAATGTACTGAAGGTTAGCAGCAGAGCCAGGATTGGGTTATGAAATGTCTGAATATTTAAGTGCCCAGACTCAATGGGGCCCATACTGGAAACCATAATATATCAGACTGGTTTGTCATCAGAGGTCAGAAAAATAATCTAAATGGATTATGTTGACTGAGACATATAAAACATAATTCTCTTTTTGTCTACTAAAGACACAATTTAGATGGCCAGTGACTGAAGTCTGGGACACTGCTTACAAGTGCAATTCTGTGTGAATTCCATAAGAAAATGTAATTGCAAAGGATCAAAATATCCTGCCCTGGTCAAT